TGTCCAACTTGAATAAATCTTTGATATTGTGCAATCATCTTACAATTCGGTTTCCATGTAATTGTCTCATACCGGACATGAGTGAAACCCACTAGTTACGGCTTCCTACTTGAACTCTAAGAATTGTTTTTAAATTAGTTACCAGAGAGTACATAACTGTTCCTACTATAAGGGGTTTGTGGAGATTGTCAAATTTTATGGTTGATATCACTGACTGATCTTAAGCTTCAAACTCTGGTAGGATTTATATAGTTGCAGTCGAGGAATCCTTAACTAGAAGGAAAGAACTTTCCAACTCTTCATAGATTTTAATAGTTGTCCAGTTAAAATTGGTCTGTGATGTAAACCATAAAATTCAACAGTCTCCATTAATCCTTTATACCAAATATATGATATACGTTGACAGTAAATCTGTTGGGGATGTTAGATCCCCAAAACTCACTTGCAAAAGGACCTAATTTTGTAATTTTATTTAGAAAACTTGAATTTCATTGTTTTCGCACCAAAGACGCTCTTGTCACCTTCATGTCGTATTTCCCACTGAGGAACATATCTTAAATGCTATTGGTCCGTCTCGTCTTTTAGTATGCTATTTGGTAACTCTTCCCAAATACGGTTTTGTACTGTATATATACGTTTTGAATTGTGTTTGTCGTTATCGCTAGTTTTTGGTTGTTTGCAGAATATACTTTCCCATTCCAAGCTTGGACTTCTCCCTCTAGTCAGCAGGGCTGGGACGCATCAATAGCTAACTTACTGGTCTTTGGTCACCGAGCAGATTAAGTGAACTCGTGATAGCTTCAACCCTAGCAAAATCACTAAACTGGTACACATTAGTTCAAATACCATAGAGTTAACCTTTGAGCTACGGATTTTCAGTAGTGATAAATCATTTCTCTTCTGTTCTTTAATAAAATACAGATACTTAACTTATCTTAGCTTGTTTAAAACATTAAGCCTTAAATGAATTGGTCAGTAAATAACCTTAGATACTTTTCATCCGTTATCGATCATAACTAAGGTATTTTATATGGACTCATTAAATCTGTAGTTACCGTTCATCATGGATTGATCTCAGTTTGTATATCACTGAAAACCAAGAAGAATTAGGCAGCTGGTTCGTATCAAGACAAGAGTCCTAAATATTGTTTATGCCAAAATTATTTCTGAAAAGATCTATCTTATAATATAAATATAATACAAACGTAAAACGCATATGTAAAATAAGTCATTGGTTAACATGTTCATATTCATTCTGCTTAGGTGATATTTATTTCGTAAGGATTCCTTGTCAGTTGAATGTGTCAAACACCAGTGTTAGACTAATCTTTGAATAATCAAATTTTAAATTTTGTTATAAAGTGACAGTTCTGACAAACAACAAAGTTAAAAATGGATGGTGGCTAGCAGTGGAATCAAGCACACGCGTTTCGTCCTATTTTGAACTCGTCAGCTGGATGTATGTGAATCCCAGAGTTGACGTTCAAGCCGGGACTGAAACTCAGTAACGTTCGCTTTAAACGCCATTGCGCTATCCACTTAGTTAATGAGTCCACATAGCTACTAGCTTGTGCAATGGGGTGAAGTTCCAATTCATTTTTGTATTGTTTCTTTAAATCTTCCCATTGATTTTCAATCAGTCTCAATTGATGTATGTGAATCCTATACGGATGGCCTCAATATTGCCTTAATCCACAAGCATTATAAGCACCTACTCTGATGTAGGTAAATCCAGCTGTCAAGGCCCAAGTAGGACGAAACGTGCGTCAAACTGGATTCTACTGCTGGCCACTATCTATCTTTGCCTACAATACTTGTGAATAAAGGGAGTGTCGAAGCGATCCGTACAGAATGCACATATGGAAATAATAGACCGATCAATTGCAGTCCTAAACATCATTGGAAAGACTCAAACAACTAATACAGAAACGAATTGAACAATAAAGTTTTTGATAACTTTTCAGAAGACATAGCTTTATTGACTTTTCTGATTACTTGATTAGATACTTTCGCTTTTAGTCTATCCGTTTTGTCCTAATGTCATAGCTGCTATTCTATAAACAGATTCAATGTGTTACAATGTTAATTTCTTCGGAGCATATTAAAATATATCTATCTTATTGCGCCACTGAAAGATATAACGGTTTAGGTTATCTTATTACGTCACTGAAATAACTAGTAGAGGATCTTAATCTACTAGAATTGGGATATAAATATGTATTGTAAATTATTATTCTTGAAGAGTGGAAATATACTCAACGTTGTCATGTCAACTAAGCGTATCGTAGACTGAAATAACAGTCATATTTACGTTCATGTAGTCAATGAATATGTTATATTATGGTATACCTTTGATGAAAAAAAACAAAATTATGTTGTGAATTTTTCTGTGACTGTAATTTCTATTCACCATGCGCACTTCATTCTGATATCCTAAGATAGATCTCATAATTCTTTCGAGTATATCACTGGTACCCATAAGAAGTGGACACTCAGTGACGAGAACACTGATTATATATATATATATACTCATGATTTACGTACATAATTATCCTGTCTTGGTCATAAGTTTCCTATGAATTGTCAGTCACATAACTGACTCGGCTGAACGTTAGCAAATTCCTATATTATTGTGGTGTATGTTACTTATACTGACAGATATAAGTAGTATGTAGCACCAACGGAAAGTGGAATCCCTGGAAGAAGATTGAAATGAAAAGAACAGGAAGGTAAACAGTGAACAATCAAAATAACAGCAGAATTAAAGGAATAATGGATCATGTAAAGAGCAACGCATATAAAATGTGCAAACGATGTATTTAATGTATGATTTTCATATTTTATGATGCCGCTGTGTGTGAATTTACTTTAGATGGTAAATTGATTTTTCACACCAGAGTTTCCGTCCACTACATTATGACCAAATCGGATTGTACATCATAGCACATTACGAAAGTCAGGTAGTTCTTACCACTAATCTGAAGATATAAACGGGAAGAATCATTGGGATTTTAGAAAAGTATTTAATCTAAAATCCCTTACAAGAGATTTTATTCATGATCATTAGGTACAACGAAAATGATGAGTATAGAATTGTGGGGATTGCTGATTTTTAACTGAGATCATGTGTCGATCAACGTTAAAACATCATTGAAGACCTGAAAGCACTGAACGGCCTGTTCATTTTAGTATAGGAACCATCAGAAGTGCTTGTCCACGATGCCACACCAAAGGGACTCGAACCCAGAACTTACGGCTTCATACGTGAACACTTTACTTCTTGATGAATGAGCCACGATTCAACAGTTTTAATATCTAACTTCAACTTATACACGATATTGTGCGACTATCTTCAATTAACTTCACTGAGTAACTGCCTCACACAGGACATGGATTGAACTCCACTGATCATAGTGTTTCAGTAGATCTCCAAGAATTACTTCTCGAAATTAGTCACTTGTGAGCACATCATATTTAGAGTTGTGGAGATTATTAACAAATCAAATACTTCATTTGTTTAAATATTCACATTTTCTTATTTCACTGTTTCATTTACATAACTAATATGATGTCTGAAAGGGTGATAATGCTATAGATATGAAACTATGTAAATAGCCCCGATTAATTTTGATTGTTTGGACGATATGAAAATTGGAAAGCTGTATTTGAAAAGTAGCTGAGTTTATAATGAATTGATATTTAATGCAATAAACAGTTGATCGGGATCAGACTGGGAATGAAAAATCTAGAATATCAGTCAGCAACAACGTAGAACTCCGTACTTATGTACGTACATGAGTTTGAGTTGCCATAAAACATTAGCACACAGATACAATTTTCGATTCAAATCCAATTGTGGTAGAGGTCGTAAGTGCATAAGCAGTAATCGGAAACATTAGGGTTTGAAGACTTTATTCAAGGCGTATAATTCAGTGAAATTAATTTGGGAAGAGAAAAAGGAAAGGGACATGAATAATTTAGAAGATTGGAGTTTGAGAGAACACAAGGAGTGGATACATCTGCTCCATTACAAACGATTTTTAGCCATGTCATTCAAGGTCTCTAACCATCAGTTGTAATCGTCTTGCGGATCCTAATCAGGTCATCTACACCCACCAACATGGCTTAGTCCACGTGTCAGTGACTTCATGGATTTGTGTGATGTTTTAATCTGGCCGCCCCTATCTTCCAACTTACTCCTACACCATAAAACATCCATCGTCAGGACAGTCGGTGGTTGGGTATATGTAACACATGTTCCAGCCATCTCAACTGATGAAGTCGCACTATTTCATCAACTGATTTGTCATCCTTACCCATTACCCGTTTCCTAACAACTATATTACTTGCTTGATGGTCCCAGGATATAAGAGCAATATTTCTAAGACACCTATGATGGAATACTATAATATGAATATATTCTCATCCATATTTGTTGAACGATAAAGAATTTCATAATTAGATTTTCAATTAAATTCCATTAACTCAATTCACAATGATTAACAATTAGAAATCATTTATATTTCACTAGACTATACATAAATAGAAATGTGATTCAGACAACAAGAACAACAACAACTGGAACAACAAATACTACTTTTGCATATACTACTTATATAACTACTATTAAATAGTGTACTTGTAACTATGTACATATGTGTGTTTGACTAATTATTGAATAGATGGAGCACCTGTGATTTATAGTTTCACATGACTTGATATATAAAAAAGAAATGAAAGTTTTTTTTTCTTCTTAGAAAAAAAAACATGAAATTTAAGTTTGTTTCCAATAGCCCATGAAAGAAACTATGTGTGCATGTATGTGTTGCTAACGGCATACACACCTATATAGATAGATAGATAGATACATGTGGGTATTATTTGGTAGTCTTGGATACTTGAAAATAGACGCACACACACACACACACAGTAACCAACAATCTCTACATATTTCATCCTCCTCCTATTTCATTCTTGTTTCATTCTATTTATATATCCAGGGATTACGTTCACAAGATAATTTATCATTGAATAAATATGTATTACCAACCTATAGACAAGAGAATTCATTTGTAAAATATATCACTTTGGAGAATCATAGTAACAGTAATAGTAATAGTAATAGTACTAATAGTCTTCAACAACAACAACATCGTCATCAAACGTATCAACGAAATCAAAGACAATCATTGTTATTACAAAATTCCGATTTGAATACATCGAAATCACAAGTATTAAATACTACTACTACTACTACTATACTACTAACAGCACTGATAGTAATCATAATCCATTATTAACTCGATCTATTCATTATGAAATTGATCAAAATGACAAATCAAAATCGATAAATATCACTACGACTACTACTGCTGGTACAACTTCTTCGATTACTACAACGAATAGTTCAGTTGACAATCTATCAGATCATTTGATTTCATCAACAAAACCTCTATCCAAATTAGTTCCACCATTAATAGGACTTAATGAAATTCATGTAAATGATTCACAAACATTACAACATGATCTATGTATAAGTAGTAGTAATAATGACAATGATAACGATGATGATCATGATAATGATGATGATGATGATCTAAGTAATCCATGTCATAGTCAACGTGATCAATCTATCAGTAATAATAATAATAATAATAATAATAATAATGATCTATTAATCAATAATCATCATCATCATAATCATTGGCAAGATTCAATACAATCCACTTGTTGGTTACCAAAAGTTGCTATGAATTCAAATCGTACAAAATGTGATGAAATTTTATCAACAAATTGGAATTTATTAACAATGAAAAATTGGAAATCTGATCAAGAATTAAAACGTAAAATGGGTTTATTGAATCCTCATCATCATAATAAATTAGGAGGAGGAGGAGGAGGAGGAGGATTTTGGTTTCGTGAAAAAGCATTCAATCATACAAAATCATTTATTCCTGGTAGACGAAGAATAGAACAACAACACCAACAACAACAACAATCAAAAGGAATGTCATTTAGTGCTATAGTGAATCATTGTCCATTGATTAATCAATATTTACCATCAAATAAAGTGGTAAGTTTATAATCGATTGAATTAGTTGTTGTGTCTTTTTTATTGTTTGTATATAGAGATATATGTTCTACTGTATGGGGTGTAAACCTGGAGAACTACGAAAGCCATCATCCAGTAGATAAAAGTGTTCAACAACAGTTGTCTACGCGAAATACTTCGGATCCATTGGCCGGACACTATTAGCAACAACTTACTGTGGGAAAGAACAAACCAGATCCCAATGGAGGAAGAAATCAGGAAGAAGTGCTGGAAGTGGATAGGACACACATTGAGGAAAGCATCCAACTGCGTCACAAGACAAACTCTCACATGAAATCCTCAAAGCCAAAGGAAAAGAGGAAGACCAAAGAATACATCACGTGGAGAAACAGAGACAGACATGAGGAAAATGAACAAAAAATGGATGAAACCGGAAAGGAGTGCCCATGACGTAGTGGTTTGAGGAATGCTGGTCGGAAGCCTATGACCATTGGGAGTAACAGACGTAAATAAGTAATAAAACACAGAGTGAAGAAAGTTAATTGTTGAAGAGTGCCTTACCAGGACAAAACAACTATCCAGCATTTTATAGTTTTTTTCTATTGGTACCTTAAATAAGATCAGTCTGCGAAGAAACACCACTGTCAAAATGAGTTTTTTCAAAGGACTATTCAATAGAATGAATATCAAAGAAGTAGAAATAAATTGTGTTGTGGAAGATTAAACATTAAAAACTTTGCTGAAAAACACAGAATGGAAGAGTAAAATGTTTATGATAATAATGTTCGAATACATCTATCAAATTTGAACTGATTTTTAGCCACGGTTTCCTGTCGACTACCTCCAACCACCATCTAATCTCAATATATAATGCCCGCAGTGTCGAGTCACTTAGACTGCTGACCACATTACAACATGATCGATAGCATTCGATGTACACTAATAATAAGGACTTGACACACATGATATCGTTCACCACCCAGTGAGTAATCAATTGTGATTAGCCAGATCATCTAACGTTTCTAACCGTTTAACTCAATTCTAACTAAACAGTCTTTACTTACCTCCATGACTTAAACCATTAGTCAACAAGTGACTTCACGTTTTAATTTACTCTCCTTTATCTTTCATCCACTCAAACCTTATACCAATCAATAATGTACTTCGATTTGACTAATAATGAAGCATATGTAATTATATATCTCAACAAGTTTAGTCGATTAAAGCTAATACTGTTAGGATATGGGGAGAATCAAATTTCGGTAAATCATCAGGTTGAAAATCTTCATTAAGTTTCATTCTATGGATAATGAATCCAAAACTTACAGTTAGACAGTTAACTTTAAAATGTCTAAATGAATTTCATTGATGAAATGATTGATACCAGTATCAATGTAAGTCATTGTTTTAATTCAATAAAGAATCTAAACCGTCTACTTGTCAACTTCCCTGATTGTTTAACTAAATAATAATTAAAACTATGTTTATCAGTATAGGGTTTTGGAGATTGATGTTAGACCACCATTGAAAACTTCAGTACAATAGAAGATGGTGGCGCAATTTCGTGGATTGGTTGAGGTTAGACATTAACACCGTTGGATGCCGGGTCAACGATCTAGACGTTAGGTGTTCGCACGAGAGACCAATAGGTCCTAAGTCTGAATTCCGCGTGCAAGATCGTGGATACACACTGTTGAGGAGTCTTATACTAGGGAGTAATGGCCGTTCAATGCTTCTAGGTTTCCCATGGTAGTCTAGCCTCAACTAACTCATGAACTCAACTATTAAGGTGCTGTTATATCCATAAAAACCCTTTTATGATAATACTAAGATCATTCACAAATGTTCCACACATAAGGAATATAAACTTTTTTTGTATCGAATTTAGTAACATAAAAGAGGTAATCCATCTTTCAGTTCTACAAGAAGAAATTCTATCAAAAGAGAGTCCAATGGTGACGTCATAGATACAATATTAAATTGTCTACAAAAGTGAACATTCACCGAGCATCAAAGAATTTACTATTTTATAACCGATACGATAATTAAGGTTTTCATGTTCCTCTCTATTGATTGTTACATAACTACTATAATGCCGACCTTTCATCAAAACAGTTTGTTATTTCTTCTTCCATATTATCCAATGTACCGACTGTTTAGTCTTTCGAATAATTTTCTGATGTTTCTTAGCTCAGTTTAAACCACTTCTTCAGAGAAATAATTTATTTTATTAGTTCAATTCATGAGTCGATGTAAGCTAGATCATGATTTAAAAGCTGGAAGCTTTGAATGGCCAATTCATTTTATTATGGGACTCCTTATGAATGCGCATCCATGATCCCTCACTAAAGGAATTTGAACGCAGGGTTTTCTGTCCCATACTCGAAGAAATATATTATTGCTAACAATAACAACTGCCCGGTAATCATCAAGATAGGTTTGTGGAGATTATTAAGTTTTTTAATTGAGATCATGAACCGATTGATGTTAGACCATCATTGAAAACCTAGAAGCACTGGACGACCAATTCGTTTTATTATGGGACGACTCCTCATCACTGCGAATCCATGATCCCTCATGAAAGGGACTCGAACTCAGGGCCTTCGATCTCGTACTCGATTAACTATACATATATCTCTAATAATAACAACTACTCAATATTTGAAACTGTGAAGTTATGCCATACTCATGACATTATTGTGTGTTTCCTTGTTGTTGTATTTTTTGTTTTCAAGTTACACTGCCAATTCGATACGGGACCAATGGAACAAACTGAAATTTTTAGTTTACCTGAAGCCAAGTCTAAATTTTCCATTGATAATTCACTTCTTAACTCAAATCGAATTTCTTCAATACACAATAATAATACTACTAATAATACTACTAATACTACTGCTACTACTACTAATAATAATAATAATAATAAAAAGGTTAAAAATACCAAATCTCTCATACAATCTAATAATGATTCAATGGATGATTTCAATAAAACAATCAAATGTAAATTCAATCAATTACAATCAGATACAAATGATACACCCTTATCATCATTATTATCTATTCAAAATACACAACATTTTATAACAAAATACCCAGATACTAAATTATATTTAAATGAAAAAGCCCCAGCAATAACAACAACAACTATGAATGGGTCAAATGTGATTCAACAATCAAAGGATAATCTCTCTTTAAAAATCAATCATCCTAATGAATATACACCATCATTATCATCATCAAGACGATATCAACATAGTCAACAATGCACTCATCATAGTGATTATGATAATGGAATACAATTGAAAGATATTTCAAATCGTGAATTAATTCTACCATTACATACTACTACTACTACTAATACTAATACTACTAATACTACTACTACTACTACTAATAATAATAATAGTAATGGTAATCAATTATGTACCGATGATGTAATAAGGGATAAATTCAAAGAAAAATCAATATTAATTGAATCACAAAAATTAAATAATAATCAACAACAAAATGATAATGAATTAATAAAATTTCATGGAAAAATTAATATACCAATGACACCACATAGTAAGTTAATAATATAGATGATGATGATTATTATTATTAAGCAAATATGGATAGTAACTAGATGGTGGTTGGAGGTAGTTGACAGGAAACCCTGGACCCAGGTTTCATGTTACTTGGCACTTGCCGGCAGGGTGTACCTGTAATCTTGAGGGAACTGGTGCACCCTGACGGATCCGATCACGTGTCACCTGACATACACAATTATTGGTCACTACCCAGTGATCAATCAATTGTGATGGATAGTGACTAGTAGTGGGATCAAATTTGAAGTACGCTTCATCTTATTTAAAACTTGTCAGCTGGATATACCTGTATCTCAGAGTGGATATTCACTCTAGAACTTGAACTCAATATCATTCTTTTCAAACGCCATTGAGTTATCCACTTAGTTACTAAGTTCTGAGATAGCCACATATGCCAATAAGAGATTGATCAGTTGAGATCCTGAATATCAATGTGAAGATTTAACACAAACAATCAATTGTGATTACATCTCAGTCCTACAGGGAGGTCGGTCGCTGCCCGGATAGCTCATTGGTAACGTCTCTGACTGTGAATCTGGGTGACACGGGATCGAATCCGTCAGAGAGCACCAGTTCTTTCAAGATTACAGGTACACCTTGCTGACGAGTGCCAAGTAGCACGAAACCCGGGTCCAGGGTTTCCTGTCGACTACCTCCAAACAACATCTAAACAATGCTGAGTGAATTTCCACATTTAATTCAACAAATACAAAGTCCAACTTAAAAACTCCTAGATCATCTAGATTTTTCCAACTAACTAAAACAAGAAAAAAATATTGTTAAAACTGCATGATGTATCCATGTGATTTACTAAAAAAAAGAACAAAAAATACAAACAAACTAGGTATAGAATTTTTCATGTAGTTTCATGTTTAATAATTTAGTTTGTAATTGATTGATCACTGGATGATGATCAATGACTATATATGTCAGATCCTTCTTTTGTTAGTACAGATCAAATCTTATCGATCAAATTGTAATGTGGCTACTAGTCTAGGTGACTCGACATTATGTGCACTATGTTAAAGATAAGATGATCTGGTTGGAGGTAGTCAACAGGAAACCCTGGAACTAGGATTCGTGCTACTTGGCAGTCGTCAGCATGGTGTACCTGTAATCTTCATGGATTTGATCCCGTTTCACCTAGCCTCTTAGTCAGAGACGTTACCACTGGGCTAACCGGGGCGCGACTGACTTCCTGTAGGACTGATATGTATTTACAGTTGATTGATCACTAGATGGTGATCAGTGACATGTGTGTCAGGTCTTTCTTATTACCCAATGGTAACGCCTCTAACTGTGAAGCTGGGTAAAAGGGGATCAAATCCGTCAGAGAGCATCAGTTCCTTCAAAATTACAGGTACACCATGCTGACGACTGTCCAGTAGCACGAAACCCGGGTTCAGAGTTTCCTTTTGACTACCTCCTAACACCATTTTAAAAATTCGGTAAAACTGCCATTTCGATTAATGTATATCTCTAAATTGAATGATCACGCACTAATGATTGTAGTGAACGAGAACACAAGTTCGGAACAACCACACGTATGTGAATAAAAAAATTACAGAACCTATTAGTAGAATCCGAGAACCATACAGTAAATACTTTATTTGCAAAACGTCAATCAATCGTCTCAGACAACACTGTTCCTTCATTTCTATACCAATCGCTCTCTGTTCTTGTTCTCTTCTCAAGTTTCTCTCATCAGACATTCCACTTTCGATTGATGATATATACTACTTATATCTATCGACATCAGTAGCACACACCACATTGACCAATGTCATTTTTGCCCAGTTTTTTAATGTTGTTGAAAATTCTATGAATCAACTTGTATCTATGGCAACTTGTCAAAGTTGACATTGTATGCACAATATTTTCTTAAAGTGACTGTAATCTCACAGTAGGGATAACATTAGTTTCCTCAAGATAGCCGGTACAACTTGGGTGATGAGTTCCAGCTATCAGGTGACTTCGGTCAATACAGAGTGTTTCCCAAACTATCTCCAATCATTTTATATCCTGATACTATAAATGTCCAGCTTTATATTATAATAATAAATGTGTGTAACAAATAAATATTAGTGTGAGGGATTTGTGGAGAATGTAGAATTTTCATATTTTAAAGCACTAACTGATTTGAACTTACTTACTTACTTACTTACTTACTTACTTACTTACTTACTTACTTACTTACTTACTTACTTACTTACTTACTTACTTACTTACTTACGCCTGTTACTCCTAATGGAGCATAAGCCGCCGACCAGCATTCTCAGATCCACTCTGTTCTGGGCCTTCTTTTCTAGTTCGATCCAATTCTTGTTCATCTTTCTCATGTCGATCTCTATTTCTCGGAGTAATGTGTTCTTTGGTCTTCCTCTTTTCCTTTGGCCTTGAGGACTCCATGTGAGGGCTTGTCTTGTGACGCAGTTGGGTGCTTTCCTCAATGTGTGTCCTATCCACTTCGAGCACTTCTTCCTGATTTATTCCTCCGCTGGGATCTGGTTTGTTCTTTCCCACAGTAGGTTGTTGTTAATTGTGTCCGGCCAATGGATCCGAAGTATTTTGTGTAGACAGTTGTTAATAAACACTTGTATCTTCTGTATGATGTTTTTCGTAGTTCTCCAGGTTTTCTCCCCATTCAGTAGAACCGTCTTGATATTCGTATTGAAAATCCTGACTTTGGTGTTGGTTAACAGTTGTTTTGCGTTCCAGATGTTCTTCAGTTGCAAATATGTTGCTCTTGCTTTGCCGATCCGCGCTTTCACATCTGCACCAAATCCACCATGTTCATTAATGATGCTACCCAAATATGTAGAGGCTTTTACATCTTCCAAATCTTCTCCGTCAATTGTGATTGGATTGGTGCATTCTGTGTTGTATCGTAGGATCTTGCTTTTCCCTTTGTGTATATTGAGACCTACTGCTGCTGAGGCTACTGCCACACTAGTCGTCGTCTCCTGCATTTGTTGTTGCGTTTGCAAACTAGATCCCCATTAAGACCTAAAGAAACTGGGTGACCGTTTTGTCCTAGGATGAATTCATTTATGTGTGCACATGGTCGACCACGCATTCAGAAGTCGAACCCAAAACCTTTGGTCCTTTTAAAGCAATGGATGTTAGTTTTCAATTGACTGAAGTTAGAAATATATCCTTCACTTAATCATTAATAGATCTTTCCATTTTCAGATAGTAAAGAAGATTTATATCTCTGATAGATAACTTAAATAGAGTTTTGTTCTATGATCTGGATGATTTGATCATGGAGCTTTTATTGTTCTTATAAACAACATAATCATCAAGAATCAAAACAATAAGAGATACAATCATAGTAAAGACAGATTAAAGATTAACAATAATCAATCAAGATCAACGTTGACAGGACAATTTGTGAGTCATATATGTAGAGAAATTTGAACATTTTACTTCTACTTGAAGTTTATACTGATGATATTATTCAGGTGAACAACGAAAGTTTAAAGGTTTGAATAATTTTTGAATAACAGCTGTCTACGCAAAATACTTCGGGTCCGTTGACCGGACACAATTAACAACAACCTACTGTGGAAAAGAACAAACCAGATCCCAGTGGAGGAAGAAATCAGGAAGAAGCGCTAGAAGTGGATAGGACACACATTGAGGAAAGCATCCAACTGCGTCACAAGGTAAGCCCTCATCACTTGGTATCCTCAAGGTCAAAGGAGAAGAGGAAGACCAAAGAACACATTACGCCGGGAAATGGAGATAGACATGGGGAAAATGAACAGGAATTGGATGGAATTAGAAAAGAAGGCCCAGGACATAGTGGTTTGGAGAATGCTGGTCTGCGGCCTTTGCTCCATTAGAAGTGACAGGCAAAAGTAAGTAAGTAATTAAGAACAATGAAAGTTTAATAACCAAACCATTCAATTTAGAAAACAAAACTCTATCTACATTTTACCCTCTTATTATTATTATTATTATTCATTATATTTAAAACGAATTTCAGCTGCATTAAATATATATGGCAAGAAATTAACATCATATGAAAAGGAGGAAATATTGAACTTTAACAAAATCTGGTATCTTGGTTTATCTGCACAAAAAATCGATGCAATTCAAGGATCTCCAAGTAATCATGGTTATGATGATGAAACTGGTGGTTATTTAAAAGTATGTTATGTAATATAGATTATTTATATATATATAATATTTGTAACTATCTAATGATCTTAACTCTAAGGGGACATTGAAATGTAGGAAAGTGACATAGAGCGGAGTGTTCTGGCAGGAAGGCGTAGGGCTACAGCGGGTGTTGTCAACGAGAAAGGCAATGAGATGTGATGCTGCTGGGCGGACATCGGATGTAGATGGCTCAGCATGTCGACGGAGCTATGAATGTCAACGGACCGTAGACTCAACATTTTGGCGGATAGCGTTTCACAGACAACAGAGAAGAAGAAAGTTGCACGGCGAACAGAACCCCCACAAGAATGACTGTTTTAAAGTGGGGCCGAGTGTTTTGTGTGCTACTGATGTCGACAGACATAATTAGTGTGTATCATCAATCGAAAGTGAAATACCCGGAGGCAGAAAGTTAAGAAGATCGAAGGAAAGTGAACGAGAAAAATGAATGATTGATGTGGAGACGAATGAATAATGAAGTCTGGGATAATTAATTGACATTTTTCAAATGAAGTATTTACTGTATGGTTCTCAGATTTTACTATGATATTCTGTCATCTTGTGTTCTCATTCAATACAGTAAAGTCAGTCAGTCAGTCAGTAACAACGTAGAACTTCGTACGTACGTACATCAGTTCGAGTTGCCACACCACCTTATACAGAGATGCAGTTGTCGATTCAAATCCCACAGTGGTAGAGGTAGCAAGAGTATAAGCAGTAATCAGGAAGATTAGGGTTTGAAGATGTTATTTAAAGAGTATAATACAGTGAAATAAATTTGGAAAGATGAAAAAAGGGACATGGAGAATTCAGAAGATTAGAATTTGGGAGAACACAAAGAGTGGATGCACCTGCGCCATTGCAAACGATTTTGAGCCATGTCATTCAGGGTCTCTAACCATCGGTTGCTATCATCTCGCGGTCCCCAACCAGGTAGTCCACACCTACCAACATGACTCAGTCCACTTGTCAGTGACTTCATGGACTTGTGCCATGTTTTGGTTTGGCCGCCTCTAGCTTTCTTCCAACCTACTCCTATGCCACTGAACATAGCACGTCGAGGTAGTCGGTCGTTGGGCATACGTAACACGTGTTCCAGCCATCTCAACTGATGAAGTTTCACTACGTCATCAATTGATTTGCCATCCTTACCTAGTACCCGTTTCCTAACAACTGTGTTACTTGCTCGATGGTCCCATTATATACGAACAATGTTTCGAAGACACCTATGATCGAATACTAGTAACCTACGAATATCCTCTACTCTTACCGGCCATGTTTCACTGCCATAAAGTAGGACGGGACGAACTGCTGCGCAGTAAACGCGTCCTTTGGTTGATAGACGGATATCTCGCCTACGCCATAAATGACGCAAGTTGGCAAAAGCTAGTCGAGCCTTCTAAAGCTTTAATACAGTAAAGCTTTAGTGAAACACTGAAGTTGGATCATGAGAATCATTCTATACCGAAATATCAACCAAACATTATTGTGATAAACTCAATTTGAATAAATGTGTAATTATATTGAAATAAATCCACTGTTGTCTTATCTGTTGTGATGTGCGGTATTCGAAAACTGATAATCACTAACCACCAAGTCCCCCCACCAACTGATTACGTGGATGAGAACACAAGAATGAACGAGAAAATGCAATTGACTACCAGATAAAATGCACATATACTCATTCATATAAATATACCAGTCTATCCTTAGGAAATTGTCCCATTTTGACCTCAATGTCGTTCATTTAACCTTTAAATCATTTCTAATTGCTATGGATTGACGTTTTTCATTAGGCTACTTCTTATTGTCATTCCATATCACTATTATCAATTGTTTCCTAATTACTATCCATTATTTCCATATGACAAATCAATATAGTTTAATGAAGTACATGATGAAATCAATATATTCGTGATTTATTGATCGAACGACCTTTGTTGATCTATTATTTGATGGATCAAACTTATTCATTCATTCAAGTGTTAAATTTTCATTTTGTTAAATGTATAAATAACTAATGTGGACTTGATTTAGAAACACTTTGTATTACATACAGTATTGTACTATCATCAGTATAGAGTTGTGGAGATTATTGGGTTTTTGATTGAGATCATGAACCGATTGATATTAGACTACTATTGAAAACCTGGAAGCACTGGACGGCCGTTTCGTCCTATTGTGAGAAACCTTACAAGTTTGCATCCACAATCCCGCTCACGAGATTTGAACCCAAGGCCTTCTGTTATGCGCGCGGATGCTTAATCTCTAGATCACTGATTGAGCATCCAGCGGTGTTAATGTCTAACTTTAACTAATCCACGAAATTGAGCGACACATTCATCATTGTCTTCAGTGAGTTACTATCTTACAACAGACCTGGTTGAACTCTACTGGTCACTACTTCTCACTAGAACTCCAGGATATACCTCATGAAGCCAGTCACTAGTGAGAATATGTTGAGCATATGTTTGGTGGTCTAGCTTCAACTGACTCATGATCTTAACCATTGAAATTACTACAATCTCCACACAACCCATCTGAGATATTTGTTTGTTTGATTTGAGTGATAGTGGAGTGAAAAAAACGATAATGAAATGACTGAAAACGCTATATATATATACTTTCCGGATTGTTTAGAAGCTGCTTTATAGAGGTTGTATCCTATTTTTACTCATGGTTCTTCCTTCATACTTAGAAAGATGAGATAGTTAAAACATTGCTGGTTATAAACTGATAACAGTCAAGCCCTCGTTGATGACCCATAAATCCAATTATGGAATGTAGTAATCCTCATCTCAATATTCTACTCCGAAACTTATCCTATCTTTATAATGACAAAGTCAGCTAGTGTAAACATTAATGAACAACAGTTCGGTTTCTGTATCAACACGTATTGATTTCCCAGCATTTGAGATTCTGCGGATTCTGTATGTCTAACAAAGTTTGGTGATATAGCGGATGGATTTAAATGTTTCTTTCTGTGAAGTACTAAGCTACCACGTTGATGTGGTAATAAGGCTGATCTGAGTGACTGATTTTATGATACCACTAGATTGGATACCTAAACGATCCTCTATACGAAAACAGAATCAGATTATATCAGATACGCGATTCACAACCACAATACTAAATCAGAGTAACGCTAGACAATAGTCCATTAAACCCAATTACAAGTAGTCATTCTCAATGAGGCCAGACTAGAAATCAATATGAAGTAAAGAAATCACATATTTAAAGGTGATTAAGTTGATTGCCTGTTTGTCCACATTAAGTGACTAATCATATTGACTTTCACTTCCAACCATAACTTGAATGATATTCAAGTTGAAACTTTTCTAAGACGAAGTGAAATAGTTATGTTGACTACTTTTATATCTGAGTGATTTGATTGATATCGCTTGGTAAGTTTTCCAATCAGTATTTCGATAATAGTTCTTCCAACCGTATCCACTACTCTTTCTTCAGCCTAGTTCCTCGAGCCTTGATCAATGATGATTTACCTTGGACTAACGTAGGCTTCACTCCTATTGATCCATAGATACGCACACTTTTCATTCCAAGCTTTAAGGAGGCACCCGCTAAGCTTCCATATTATATTTCAACCGAATAGAACTAATGTTTTCAAATCAACATTATTAATAGACTTGTGAGGGTAAACTGACAGTTCGATGGGAAAATTACCATGCACTGTAGAATAAGGCTTGAGATTATCAATCTTGAATTGCTTAACACACATTATTCAGAGATGAAATAAGTGTGAAATCAGTTTAAAATTATTGTCAGTTGATTGACAGTAACCCTAGAAACGTTACAGGCGAAGTTTAGTAGGTAAGTGTTATGAACTTTATTTTTTACAACAGTGAAAGTTATTTAATTTCAGGAAACACGGGACAAGTGTTTTATCCTACTACGAAACTCCTCATCAAGGGCATCTAAAGCTCGACCATTGTTGATAACCTGATGTGGTGGTCGGGCTTTCTTATCGTGATGAACCAATCGAGCTATACTAGCTGAAACAACCGTTCTTCAAGGTCGTACCATATTAGATAGGTCGGTTGAAGAGCGGTAAGACTAAAAGCAGCGAACCCAAGGTTCGGAGGCGAAGTCGTACTGCTGACTGTTCAGAGGTGTAACGGCAGTAAGATGTTTCCTTCAGAAAACCGGTATAACAGCGATGCTGCCTTCCCACAAGGAGGGGTGGGGTTAGAAAAGGTCGACCCTAAAAATGCACACCTCGCCTTATCCCACGGATATCCGTCTCCGGCGTTAAGGTCTCAACAAATACAGAGCTAACCTGAAAATTACTCATAAAAAGGTCGTATGTAACCGACCTCAAGCAATTGTTCCTTGGGCCCTGCTGTCACACTTTCAGATCACTAAGACCATCTCTGATCCAATGTCCATTTGAGGTACCTCCAGAAGCATCCTTCCACGCTGTGGGCAACCGAGAAGCGATAACCGCCTTCATACCTCTAACAGCACTCAAGACCGCTGAAAGTTTAATCTTTAAACTATTAAATCCATATCTAATGCTTTAAGTTTTCTGAACAATAGTCTCATATGCTATATGATTCTATCATATTGTAATAATTTATAACTCTCTTTCAGATAACCCATGATCATATCGCTTATAGATTTCAAACATTGGAAACTTTGGGTAAAGGTTCATTTGGTCGAGTGATACGAGCTATTGATCATAAATCAGGATTTCCAGTTGCAATAAAAATTATTCGAAATAAAAAACGGTAAGATATTTAATGTGAAATAAAGTAATGCGATAAAATAATTTGTCCATCTTGAAAGAATCCTATGTGATAAGTTCACTTTCAGAATAGTACAATCGTACAGATAATATTGACAAACTAATGTTCAATTTACCTGCTCATGTAGAGCTAAATAGGTAGGTCAATCGTCAAGGCTACTGTCACAACACATTCAGTAGTATCTAACAGCATGGTTTAACAAATGTCAATTATATAGTCGACTCTTCAACATGTAATAGAAATAGAACATTCAACATCCACCTTATCCTTTGACATCATTTACAGAATGCAATCAAATATACTTTAGATCACTAACGCAGATGATCCATGCCGAATGGTTGGCGGCCTGTTCGAGTTAGACGGAAATGGTGTGACTAAAAGCTAACTTCAAAGTAATACCTCGTGATCATCACCTAACATGGATTAACTCTTTGTTGTATCAAGGTAGGATGGCTGCTTTGAAGACCGTATAACACGAAAGACGTCATTACAACAATGTGTTAGTAAAGGTAGATACAAGGAAGCAGTTGCAACCACCACCTCATGAGCCAGTCCCTGATGTGCAATTAATTGATGCGCGTTGATTGTCCTGGACCTTGACACAAGTCGATGATCTGTTTGATATTCAGTGACCCAACTGTCGGATCATTTGGCTAAGGCTCAATAACATTTCACTGACCCTACAATACCAACCTATTTTACATCAAATAAGCTTTAGTCGACTGTAATTTCGGACTTTCGTTGAGCATACAAAAAGGATTTGTCAGATTCCTCTCTCTTACATTTGTAAATGAGGACCGTGATTTACAGAAGAGTTTGTGTTATCTGTTTTCCAATGTTTAATACGTGTGAAATATCAAGCCTTTTCCAACAGTTCTATGTTTATTTAGTTGGTGTATGCAGAATGTAAGAGCATAATTTTCATTAGAGACTTCATTCTATGCAGGGACTTTCTATGGATTGGTATCTTTTATTTCGTGTATTGAGATTCGTTTCGTTGATCGTTCATGGCAGACGAATCTGTGGAAACCTGCAAGTGTTTGGGATTAAATTTTCAAGTTAACATCATACTCCAACATACAAGACTCATCCATTAAATGATCGAGAGAACACTCGATAATACTACCATACTGAAGACTTATTGAAGATTGTGAGATGAATGGATGAATTCACACTGTCTTACTACATACAATTTATTACGTTTGTTATCAGAGTTGATGTTTCCTCTTAGATTTCTTGACTACTACTACTACTGACATAACTCTGTCATTACAACAACAACGATAATAATAATAATACTCCCACTTACACCTTTCCCTTCTCATACTACTTTAATGACTTACCTTAACAACTCTATTAATCCATATAACGTTGTGGAGACTGTTAAATTTTATTGAAATGACTAACCGATGAAAATCGATATGTTAGTCATTTGTATGTGTGACTGAAGATCATTGGTTCAACTTCCGATTGTGGGTTGTGGATGCGTACTGCTAAGCAATCCAATACAAGAGTGAAATAGCTGTCCAATGATTATCTTACTTAAGTCGGTTAGTCATTTCAATGAATTTTATTGATCTCCACAAGTCCATACCTACTAGATTGTAATTGTTTTAATGATGTCACTGTAGGTTAATATAAAGTTTTAAAAGTAAAGCTTTCTTTCTCTCTTCAAGATCATAAATGTCTAGGATTGAGTCCTCTGTGTGGTCGGGAATACACACTGTTGACTAACTTCATACAATGACATGTTAAATATTCAATACTTCCCTGCTTTCAATTATTATTGGTTCATAACCTTATGGAAACTTCTTTGACACTATTGTGTACCTGAGAATTCATACGATGAACTACAGTGCAATGTGGTGCAGCTGACAGCTAACAGACGCATTTCACGTGAGGACTGGAGTCAGACAAGGTTACTTACACTCCCTCTCCCTCCTCCTTCTGATAATTGACTATATTATGAAGACTTTGACATCTGAAGGAAAGCACAGAATACAACGAACAGCTGGGAATCAATTAGATTTGGAATTTGCAGATAGCCTCACTCTTCTATCCCATACACATCAACAAGTGCATATGAAGACATCTACTGTAGGAGGAACGTCTGCATCTGTAGGCCTCAGCATACTCAAAGGAAAAAGCAAGATTTTCAAATACTATTCAGAGAACACTAACTCAATCACACTTAATAGAGAAACTGAAAGATGTGGAATCTTTCACGTATCCGGATAGCATAAACGATGAACAAGGATGATCCGATACAGACGTAAATGTAAGGATTAGTAAAGCAAGGACAGTATTCCAACAATTGAAGAACATGAGAAACTCAAAACAACTGTCAGCCAATATCAAAGTCAGAATCTTCAATACCAACGTCAAGACAGTTCTACTGTACGGAGCTGAAACTTCGAGAACTATCACAACCATCATCAAGAAGGTACAAATATTTCCAAACAATTGTTTACGTAAGATACTGAATGTTTGTTGGCCATTAGCAACAAACCAACTCTCAGCTAAAGAGGAAATTAGAAAAGGACGTAGGAATTAGATAGGACATAGATTATGGAAATCACGGAACTGCATCACAAGGAATACGCCAACTTAGAGTCGTGAAGGGAAACAGAAAAGAGGAAGGCTTAAGAACACAGTACGTCAAGAATAGGAAGCAGATATGAAACGAATGAATGACAAATGGAAATAACTGGAAAGGATTGTCCAGTACAAAGTTGAACGAAGCGTTCTTGTGGGCGGTCTATACTCCTTCACGATGGGTAACAGGAGTAAGTAAGTAATGATATAAACCATACAATTCAATAATTATCTCAAATCCACTCAATACTACTGATATATTCATTCTGATGTTTTGTTTTATTATTTAGATTTCATCAGCAAGCTCAAGTGGAAGTAGCCATTTTAGAGAATTTAAAAAAAGCTGATTATAAAAACATTCATAATATTATACATATTAGAGATCATTTTACATTTCGGAATCATTTGTGCATTGTTTTCGACTTATTAGGGTAAGTTAATGGTCAACTTGTCTATACCATTTTTCTTTGTATGTATGTATGTGTGTGTGAGATAGTTTATTAAATGGCTAGAAGATTCTGAGATATTGAATTTCTAGTGAGAAGCCTTAATCAGTGGAGTTCAACTAGGTCTTTTATGAGATAGTAACTTGTGGTGGTCGGTATTCGATATATCCCTTAAACTTCGTATACAATTCGTCTTGATAACCGTCCTATTTAACCCCAACGGTATATTATTCAGAAGGCGAATACGAAGCGTTGATTACATTTATTTCGAGACCACATACACAGATGTCCAAAATTACAGATGCATTAAACGAGCATTAAGAGTTGTGTCGAACGGCAAACAGGCAAGCGAGCGGCTGAGCGAATGTAAGTAATCGAGTACAATCAAGCGAGCGAGAAAGCAGAGTCAACCATATGAATAACATGGACATGTATATAGCATGTGAAATTAATGAGTAATCGAATCAAATAAGCGGTTAGTAGTGAGACTAGCAGAGTGAATAAATGCGTAGGCCGTAAGCAATATTCAAGCATGCGTATTTCATACAAGCACGGAATAATAATAATAAGGGTACAATAAATTGTTATAGTACGGATGACTTTGTCCGCTAAATAAGTTAGCAAAAAGGGCTTAACTGAGTTAAATGAGAATAAACCTTTTTGCACGTGAGTCGCTATAAACTCACTTAAGACAATAATAGACGGTGGTGTAATTTCGTGGATTGGTTGAAGCTAGACATTAACACCGTTGATTTCCGACTCAGTAGTCCGGAGTTCAAGCATTCGCACGCGAGACCGAATGTCCCAAGTTGGAGTCCCGCGTGTGAGATCATCGACGCACACTACTGAGAAGTCCCATACTAGGACGAAACGGCCGTTCAGTGCTTCCAGGTTTCCCATAATGGTCTAGCTTTAATTGACTCATAAATTCAACTATTAAATCACTAGAACCTCCACAAAACCCCCTTCTGTTACTGGAGTATGTTTGTAGCTCAGGTTGAAGATTTCGAGAGTGCTTCATTCTTTGAACAGGATAGTTTGGTCGTGAATCTTACCCTGTTCCTCTAGATACTATAATCAGCATACACTTCTATAAGAAGTGAGTAATCAGAATTTCTCTATCATTGACGGATTGTTTGTATTCTGCCGACCATAAGTGTGTATGGCTGTTGTGCACGCGTTTGTCCCGATAATTTTCGCCTCTGACCTGATCTGTTACCTTGGCGATTTTTTTTAGATTTTTTTCCTTATTAGTTGATAGATCAGGTCAATGTCAATATATCTATTGATTGCTGCATTACCAGAGTCTTATGCTTCAAAGAATCTTTTAACTTTCCTTGAGTTATCATCAAATAAGAGATGAAACCGTCTAGTTGGCTTCATGGTCTAGATGATGTATATATATATGTGTCAATGTTGATGTTCATATTGGAACTCGGATTCAGTATTTTTCACTTCATAAGCTTAACGTTGTGATTTTACAAAGCCATTAACTTGTTCCACACATATGATGTTTAAGTTGTTATTTCCCAGGGTTTGAGTTATCTCCGTTGTTGATTGTAGAAGTAAATAAATCCCCGAAATAAATAGCTCTGTAAGTTTTCGACATTGGATTCTGACCACATTCGTTTTAATGGACTCACCTAGCTGAAGGCGCTTGGTCATGCATCCGCACCAGATCACGAGTGGGATCGCCGTGCTCAACAACCCCTGCAATCGCTAGCCATATTAGATCAGACGATCCTCAATATATTGGTAGCTTATCAAATATATCTTCGAACCTTCTCGCTTCCGTCTTTTGATTTCACTTGGTGGGTACGATTCATATTCGAAGGTGTTACTGGTTAAAGCTTTGTCAAACTCCGAATACCTGTGGCATCTTCATGATAATCAGGATTGAATTTTTGATCTCCACTTCCGGTGGGGATTTCTTCAATATCATCTTAAATATTAACAGCGGGATTATAGAAACATTGGCGAAGAAATATTCTAGTTTTATACTTAACTTAATGGACACACATATTTGACCATTTAGAAGATCGAACTTAGTAATGACTACCGTAACATTCCATCTTCGAAATGTAAATGAATAATTCCTTAGAACTACTTAGTGTTTCCTTGTCAGTCATGATATTTTAATAAGAACTCGTTCAGAAATACAAACTTGACTTTGAGATGGTGAAGATTTGTAGCTCAGGTGGATGATTTCAATGAAGTTTTGTTCTCTCAGCTGGATGATGTTTATCATTCAGAAGAACGATGAAAGCTCCATGACTAAACCATCCAGCTCAGAGAACAAAACTTCATCATAAACTTGACTTTCTATTCATTCATTAAATTAAATTAGAGTATCACTGGAAACTAGGAAATACTGAGTATCTTCTACATTTTAATAGAGAACTCTTCAAATATTTATATCTTAAATTCAACCAGAGATTAAACACAGAAATTTCGAGTGTCAGCTTTAGATCAATGAAGTGAACTTTAATCCCTTACTTGTTTGACTTGAGTTAACTGAAGATATTAAGTAACAACCTTTCACTGCCTCATACTCTACATGGGTGAACATTGTTTGTTCGATCTTCAGTGAAGTAGTACTATACATCATTTTATATATTTATTTATTTATTTGAACACATAAACATTGGTACAAAGGGGCATCGAATAAATATGCGCCACACAAGTCAGTTGATTTTTGTGTGGGTTGTGATATTGCCCGGGTGCCCAGACCAAAGCAGTTGATTTTCCTAGGGAGCCACACCAGGAACCTTTGACCTAAAGCTCTGGTCCATAAGCCAGAGGAGCAACGTCAGGAGATGCAGTTCCATGGTAAACGGTGACCAATAATTGGTTCATACGCCATTTGTTCCCGCAGGATACTGGAGTCCATGTGCACCACTGGTTTGGAATGAGGGTTTCCCAACTTTACTAGATGGATCCTTCATATCCACCAACCTGGTTAGAGCCCCGGACATTCTCTTTTTGCCCTCTCAATTTCGTAAACAACATCCTTTTTGCGAGAAGGTAGTAAGTAAGACTTCTCTGTCAGTGGTTGTATATGCGATGCCATGTGAGATCACCTCTAAAGGGAGAGCTGACTCTCGTCACCTTCATCCATACCAAGGTATTTTGGTTGGCATAACATAACGATAGATTTGCAATTGAATAACTCATAGCCTTTATTATAATTCATTTATATTAAGTAAACTAATTTCTCTTATGTATTATTTATCTTTTGAATATCTATACAGTTCAAATTTATATGATCTTTTAAGAAAAAATGATTTTCGTGGTTTCACAATTCATTCATTGAAAAAAATCACAATTAAATTACTCAATTGTTTGTGTTTATTAAGAAAACAAGGTATTATACATTGTGATTTGAAACCAGTAAGTTAATACTGTTACAATTGTGTTATTATTTATATAATTTAAATGTTTATATTGTAATAGTTGAGATCGTGAATGAATTGAAACTAGACTACTACAGAAAATCTCGAAGTACTGGACGGTCATTTCATCCTATTGTGGAATTTCTCAGTGACAGTAGGCATCCATGACCCTGTCACTCGGGATTCAAACCCGGGACCTATCAGTAAATTATTTAAAAAGTTTTATACTACTTAAATATTAAAAAGTACCTTAACGCGTTTGGCGAAAATATTTGACAATTTCCTTAGAATTCTTGAGAAAATAGTCATAATGAATGTTAATTTGTTCATTTTATAATAAGTATGTGTTAAAATATAGAAAAGAAACTTTTAATTGAGCTCATATGTTTATTGTCTTTCATTAAAATTATTTCTCCATTCAGATTTATCATATATATCTCAGGCATCCATTAAGATACATTCTAAACAAGAAGCTTTGACAAGCGAAGTTTCGCTATGTCGGTTTGGTAAACAGTCATTCATCAAAGTCTATAAAATATGGTTATTCAATATTGCTATGTGATTAAACTAGATATGTTTTAACCACATTGGACACTACCAAAGTGATCTGAAGATCGAACTCTCTGAAAGAGACCTGAATGTCATAGATTCGATTCTAGGTGACGTTACGAATGCTCACTGCTCGAAGGATAAAACAAATACCCATAAAAATAAACTGGCTTAGATAGAATACCGATGTCTGTGAGATATCGTATTACTGACATGTTTAAATTATAAATCTTTCAAACATTTGGATAAAACATGATACCATAGAATATTCATTTTGTGATAACTATTCCTTTTCTTCATCAATAACAATGTAAGATATCTTCGTAGGTCTCAATGGCAAAGTAAGACTTGATAGTTTCCAATAAACTGAGCCACTTCTCTAGAATAGTGACTTACATTAAGTCAAAAAATATCAGAAATACAATTTTTCCTACTTGATGGGATTGATGTGTGCGGGAGGATGATAATGATTGATTGTTTGCTTTGTCAGACTAATAAGATAGTCTAACAGGTACTAGATAAGTTCTATAGTCATTCACCCTTATTATTACTATGATTGTTGATGAATTGTTGTCGGTTTTTGGTGTGGCTAATGATGTGTTCTTGAATTGAGTTGTATTGAAGTCCTGTAGAATATAGACAGTGGTATGCTGAGCAGTCCTATATTAGAACGAGACGAAACTGCCGTTCAGTGATTCCGGGCTTTCCATGGTGATCTAGATTTCATTGACTCATGAACTTAACTATTAAATTACAGATATCTTTACTAAATCTCCTTATTCTGATAATAATCTGTAATGCTTTAATGCATAAATAAGCAGCTTAGTTATATTTAAGTATCTCAATGTATACATCCACTTGGTTCGAGTCCTGTAGTGAACATCAACACTCGGATGCAGGTATGTCAAATTAGCAAGTCTCAAGTAGGATGAAACGTGGATACTGAATTCCACTGTTAGCCGCCATTCATCTTTGCTTATAAAGTATGTATATACAGTTAATAGCTATTGATTTATTGATTACAAGGCTTATTTCTGATCAATATAAATTCAGTCATAGTTGAGCACATACTAATCCCAACTGAAGAATCTTTCAAATGACAAACTGTAATAGTAAGCTTTCTGTGAATAATTATTATCGTATACGAAAAGAATCATGATGTAACCAACTAGTAATCTTCAAGCTATTCAAGAGGTGACCTCTCCTCAAAGAAAACTGTGTTCAGATCGAATATTATAGAATTGTCCTTGATTCACATTATCGATGTTTATTTGATATACAACATTCTTGAATGTTGTTGATAAAAGTTGTCCTGATAACTCCCTTTCATGATTATTAAGCAACTTAATTCAAAGACAGTTTTGTCATGTAACTATGTATAACTTTTGTTATATGTTGAAGCTTAGATTCTTAATATACCACGTATAACATGAGCATTCGAACTCTAGGACCGTCTCAAGTTGCAAATGACAAGACAGAAGAACACTGGAGAATGTATTCGTTGGGCAAGAATCAAAATGTACAGAATATCATGGGTATTTATAGATATTAGCATTTGTTCTATCAACATTACAATTCAACCAATCCGCAAAGAGGCATATTATGTTATTGACCAATAATAGCATGCTATTTCGTAGCTCCTATGATTTTGAGATGGTGAAGAAGATTTGTAGCTGGATGGTGGATGATTTTGATGGAGTTTTGTTCGCTGAGCTGGATGGTATAGTCGTGGAGCTTTTATTGTTCTTCTGAACGACATTATCAGCACAAACTTCAGGTAGAAATGAACTGTTCGAATTTCTCCACAAGCTATGAATCACATATGGAGATATTTGAACACTTCACTTCTCCTTGAAGTTTGTGCTGATGATGATTTCTTTCAGAAGAACAATAAAAGCTCCATGACTAAAACATCCAGGTCAGAGAACGAAATTGCATAGCTTCATTGCGTTCTGATTAGATGAAACTTTTCGACTTTTCTAAGGCTTCTGCATGTTTCGTCGTACATCTTGGAAACCGTCTCAACAACTTTATTCACATTGAAATGAAATCTTAATTTGATCATTTAAGAATTTTGTTTCATAATCAATCATTTTTCTATTGATTGATTATTTTAGGAAAATATTCTTATTGGTTTAAATAATCCATCAGAATTAAAAGTTATTGATTTTGGTTCAAGTTGTTTTGTAAATCAAAAAAGTAAGTCAAAAAGGAAAATTAATTATGTCATAATTATTGATTGATAGTTGCTATGTATCATTAGTATCAGAAGGGGTTTTGTAGAGATTGTAGTAATTTTACTAATTGAAATCATGTGTCAATTGAAGCTAGATCACCATGGAAAATCTGGAAGCACTGGACAGCCGTTTCGTCCTATTTTGGGACTCCTCAGCATTGCGCATCCACGACCCCGCCTCGCGGGATTCAAAACCAGGGCCTATCAGTTCCGCGCCAGGCGCTTAACCAACTAGACCACTGAGCTGGCCGGCATCCAACGGTGTTAATGTCTAACTTCAACTAATCCTTCTGATACTAATCAACATATGCTCACTAGTGAGTGGCTTCAACAGATATATCCTGGAGTTCCAGTGAGAAGCAGTGACCAGTGGAGTTCAAGCGGATCAGTTGTGCGATAGTAACTCACTGATGACATTGGTAGATATGTCACTCAATTTCGACTCACAATAGGACCAGACGGCTGTCCAGTGCTTCCAGGTTTTCTATGGTGGTCTAGCTTCAATTGACTCATGATCTCAACTATTAAAATGATTTAGCTTATTCTAATATGAATATAAGTTCTTTATTAAGTTGGATAATGTGTCACATATCACATGTAAACATTTCAACAATAACCCATCATCATAAAGAAGCATAAGAAAGAAGTAGTGAAGGGAACTTGATATTCAAGCTAACAAAACTGAAATAGTACTATAAAGAATAAGAACACAAATGGAGGCAATCGAATGTATTTTAATACATTATAGAACATCTTAGTAAAATCTGAGAACCATACAGTAAATATATCATTCTGCAAAATGTCAATCAATTGACTTAGACTTCATTGTTCCTTCATTTCCACACCAACCACTTTTGTTCTCGTTCTCGTCTCTTTGATCTTCCTAATCTGCTGCCACCAGACATTTCATTTTCGACTGGTGATATATACTACTAATATCTGTCGATATCAGTAGCACATATAACACCTTAGTTAAAACAAAGTGTTATTCGTGTACTATGTAGGGATGGCAAATCAATTGATGAAATAGTGCGACTTCGTCAGTTGAGATGGCTGGAACATGTGTTACTTATACCTGTTGGGGTGATCCAGAAAATTGCTTGCAAAAGACAAGCAAGCATCAGGAAACGCTAAGAAACGTTTCATCCAATCAGCGTTCACTTGAAGTTTTAGCCAAAAATATGAAGGAAGCGAAACGTCACATGCGGAGGCTCTGATTGGTTGGCTGCTACACTGCTAATATGTTTAGTAGCATTCCAGAATATTCTAGCAACCCAAGAACATTTAGAATATTATAAAAACCCTATATTTTCTGTATTAAATAGAACCTATGGAGTAAACTACTTCTCGCATACTCTGAGTCTTCTCTCTCGTGTTCAGGTCGCTGTATAGTTCTAGCTTGAGGGTTACAGAATAGCTTAGGAGACGAAAATAGCGTTCAGTCCGCAAGACTTATCAATACCCAAACACCGACTGTCCCGACGTGCGGTGTTTTTTGATGTAGGAGTAGGTTGGAAGAAAGACAAGAGCGGCCAAATTCATGAATTCACTGACAAGTGTACTGATCCATGTTGAGGGGTGTAGACTACCTGGTTTGGATGCGCCAGACGATAGCAACCGATGGTCAGAGACCTTGAATGTGACATAGGTCAACATATTTTGCAATGACGCAGGTGCATCCACTCTTTGTGTTCTCCCAAATTCTAATCTTCTGAATTCTCCATGTTCCCTATTTTTTATCTTTCCAAATTTATTTCATTGGATAACATCTTCAAATCCTCATGGCGAGACTACAGTTTAAGATAGAAAATCTTGAATTTTGGCGCAAAATTCATCGATTCAATGGCCTAAATGGCACTTTGGCATTTTAGCTGATGTCATTTATTGATGAAAATGTAAAAAACTTATTCCTAACACTAACGTTCAACTGTAAATCATAATCCTGGCTCCTTAAAGTAATCTATAACCCGCACTTAACCATAGTAAGTAATTGGCCATTCGAAGGTCATTCTAGCATTGTTCAAAGCACGTTCATAAATTATAGTCTCATCGACTATACTGATTATGATTAGCTTTATTCAGACCCAGGCACAGAGTGCGTTAGAGAATACTGGTCGGCTGTCTATGCTCCATTTGGGAGTAACAGGCAGAAGTAAAAAAGTAAGTGAAGTAAGTATTATGTATTTAGTACAATATAGAATTTTAAGCACAAAGTATTTCAACAAATTTCCCATTTCTTATTTCTTCATCTATCCTGACGATAACATAATGAGTGATCGCCAGTCAGCAATCGACATCGGATTCATGTGTTTACTTTTCTAACAAAATACGATGTCGCTGATTGAGCTCTTTTGTAACTGGTACAATGGAAGGTCGTCACTTCTCTCATATGTGATGTTGATGTCAGGAACACGTAGTCTAGATATTCAAACAGGTCGTTCATAAATTATAGTCTCATCAAAATATACTCATCAATGACTTTATATATTGATAATTATTTATATGAAATTGTCAATTATTCTTCATTAAAGTCATCATTATTCATATGATCAGTTTTTGTTGAAGTTCTGTTCTCTGAACTAGATGGTTTGGTCGTGGAGCTTTCATCGTTCTTCTGAACGACATCATCATCATAAACTTCAGGTAGAAGTGAAGTGTTCGAATTTCTCCACACATGTAGTTCACAGCTTGATATGAACATCTAGATGTTGATTGGTTCTTGTTGAAAGCTCCACGACTAAACCATCCAGTTCAGCGAACAAACCTTCATCAAAATCATCCGCCCACCAGCTACAAATCTTCTCCACAATCAGCTGTTGTTTCAAACCAATCAAATCGATTAGATGAAGTGTGATCCTCATTATTTTTTTTTTAATTTTATATTTAACATTTTAGCCTATACGTATATTCAATCACGTTTTTATAGAGCACCAGAAATTATATTAGGTATATCTTATGGTCCACCAATTGATATGTGGAGTTTAGGTTGTATTCTACCTGAATTATATACAGGTAAGCTTGAACCTTATGTAAATATGATTGAATCAATTGTGTATTATTTCTTCTTTCATCTCATAATGATACATCAAAAGAGATACTAACCTTACTTACTTACTTACGTTTGTTACTCCTTGTGGAGGAGCATAGGCCGCCCTACAGCACTCTCCAAAAACCATAAAGCGATGAATGATAATTTCATGCTTAATCGATAAACACAATTCAGGACTGGGGAAATAACCTTCATTTATTAAGGTGTTTATGTTACAGTATAGTAGTTTAGGTGCTAAATATTCCATTCAATTCTATTGACTGCCAACTGAACAGTTGTCATTCTGTTAATTAAATTTTTAATCACATATAGGAACTCTACTCAGATTAATACCATTACCATACTACTAAGTCGAATGAAAGAAATGCAGATTTTTGGATGATCATGATATCTTTTTAATCCATGAGCTGGTATCTAGTGTAGTGAACAAGAGCACAAGTGGGGACAACCAAATATAGTTGACCACAAAATTACAGAACAGCTCAGGGAAATCAATCGTCTCAGATCTGACTGTTCCTTCATTTCTACAGTAATCATTCCTTGTTCTCCTTCTCTTTTCTTTGATCTTCTTAACCTTCTGCCTCTAGGCATTTCACTTTCATTTGATATTACATACTACTTATATCTGTCGATATCAGTAGCACAGTTATTTAGTGTTATCTGTGAGATCTAACTCATTTCCAACATGGTTAAACTCCATCAAATATGGCTGCTGATTAGAACTCTGAGATATCTATACTGAAATAGATCAGGACAAGTATCGTCAGAATCAACTAATCTTTTCGGTTTCCTTATTCACAAATTCTGATGCTCATATATTATTGTAATGAACACTTCAACATAAGCTTTAAATATTTGTGTTCAATAGACAGTATTAGTTTCTTCAGGGGAGATAACAATAATCCATATTCTTTGTACTTTACCGACAAACTCCATGGTAGAAGTAAAACTATTCTAATGACGTTGAGCGATTCTAGTTTTGACATTGAGATTGACCAAACAGTTACTTTCATAATTGAATTCACGAGTCAACCTAAGCTAAACCACCATTGACAACTTGGAAGCACTAGATAGCTGTTTCGGCCTTGCACGGAACTCCTAAGTAGTACTCATCTGCGATCCCGCATGCAGGACTCGAACCAGGGACTACCGATCTCACTCGTTAACGCTTAACCTCTAGACCATTGAGCCGGCATCCACCAGTGTTAATGTCAAACTTCGATCAATCCATCATCTTGTTAAACACTTCATCCATTGTCTGATGTGGATAACTGTCTAATGTCCATCAAGGAGTAGAGCAACGTCAGAAGACGCCGTCCGATGGTAACCGGTGACCAATAATTGGTCCATACACCATTCATATGATCCTGGAGACCATGTGAATCATTAGTTTAGAATAAGGGTTTCCCAACTACACTAGATGGACCCTCCGTTTCCATAAATCCGGTTAAAGCGCCAGAAATTTGCAGTTCGTCCTTTTAATTCCGTAAATAACAGCCCCACCGCGTGGAGGCGATGAGTAGGACTTCTCTGGCAGTAGCTTTATACGCTTGGGGCCATGTGAGAGCAGTTGGAGAGGAAGAGCTGACTCTCCCCACTCTCGGTCGTACCATGGCATTTGGGGGCCTTCGACCCAAAAAATAAATGCATCATAACATCTTGAAAGTATGCTGTTTTTTTTCATAAGTTTCAATCTGACTCATCAATAATAATCTATCTATAGGTTGTTTTTGTTACAAAATGATCCGATTTCGAAACCAGGTAGAGCTAAATAGCTGATCGCTTGTATTATAGAACTCAGAAGTGCACACGCACGACTTAACCAGGAATAGAACCCAAATCCTTGAGGTCTTGGGACGAAAATGTAGCTAATACAGTCACCGAGTCAATATTGAAAGATTCAATTTGAACTTCAGTCCATAAGTGATATAACAAGATGATCATTTAATCACATTCGTCGCAAATATTTCACCCTCAACATGCCTGAGCACCAGCCAAGACATTAGATAAGAACTTGGGGATCATTGTAAAGCGATTCACTATTTAGCTAACTATTATAGTTCTAATTAAATAAAGTTTTGTAGAGGCAAGTGCAAAGCGCTAAGGAGTCTATTTCTAGAGTTAGATACTTATTCAGTGATCCCTAATTTTCAGGAGTACTGCTACTGTAATTAATCTATAACAAATACAACGTAGAAACAAAGATCAATAACCGCAAATCCCCTTCAAACAAATAATCTACTTATATCAAATTTGTTAGTAACAATTTAATTACTAAATTTATAGTTGGTATTACTGCAATTATTATTATTTCTTCCCCCCTCCCCACACCTCACCATCCATTTATAATCAGGTCGTCCATTATTTCCTGGAGAAAATGAAAATGAACAATTGGCTTGTATTATGGAAGTACTTGGTTTACCATCTGAATTACAACTTGAAAAAGCCAGTAGACGAAGAGTATTTTTCGGTAAGACAATTTCATTAATTTTTGAATGCTTTCAGTTGTGCTTTTGTCTTAATCTTTTATTTCAGTTATACACATAGATACTTCCTCAGTATCATTAGGAATTGGTTCACAATTGATATTTATTAAACAAGTGACAGTTGGCTTAGTCGTCTAGGTGTTAAGCGTTCGCGCGCGAGACTGAAGGCCTTGGGTTAGAAATCCCTTAGCGGGATCGTGGATGCGCACTGCAGAAAAATCCAAAAAATAGGATAAAACGGCCGTCTAGTGCATTCAGGTTTTCAATGGTGGTCCAACATCAATCGGTTCATGATCTCAATCAATCATCTCTACAACCCCATACTAATCATGATGTAATCTTAAGTGTATTACTGAAAATACATATCTTAAACTGGTATATTCTATTATTTACATACTTTAACTGTGATGGTGGAGAGGATTTGTAGCTTAAGTGAATGATTTTGATCGAGTTTTGTTCTCTGAGCTGAATGGTTTCTGCTGATGATGTCGTTCAGAATAACTGTTAAAGCTCTATGCCCAAACCATCCAGTTTAGAGGACAAAACTTCATCAAAATACTTTAATTGTGTAGAATCGTGCCTTTTTATAGAAATATCTCAAACTTCGGTTACTCATCGAAAAACACTGACCTTGTTTACAATCTCTGATAATGTTGATAGTACTGTAGTAAACAAAGAATTTAAGTCGGAATAGAGAACTTTTTCTTTAACGTCAAATTGAAGAGCATCTACTTAGAATATGGAAACCATACATTGAGTAGATCATTTGCACATCTTCCATCAGTTGCCTCTTATAAGCTTCATCGTTATTCCAATACAATTACTCTCTGTTTATAGTCCTGTTGTCTTCAATTCAATCTTCTCAATCTTCTAATACCAGGCATTCTACTTCTAATTGGTGTTACCTACTACTTATATCTGTCAATATAAGTAGCATACACCGTAAGACTACATCATGGAAGATCTTTTGATAGTGTTTTACAGTGTTACTTATTGAAGTGGAGAATGGAGATATAAGGCTTGATTGTGAAGATACATTCAAGCTAAAGATGGCATGAAGTCATGAACTTTTATCAAATTAAATATAACGTTTTATTGCTGAATTAACATTCAATAATCTACATTTGCAAACTCAGTATTTGAAACTCGATTTGGTGTAAGGTAAATGATGTGCATATGGTTGATTAGTCGGCTCCTAAATGCCCTTGAACGGCCGACAGTGGGGAAAGTCAACTGTCCCTCTCAAAATGCTCTTACATGGCCACGCGTATACAGCCATTGTCAGGGGAGTCCTGCTCACTGTCTTCTCGCGGCATTACTGTTGTTTACATAATTGAGAGGACAAAAACCGGGTTGGTGAACACGAACAGTTCATCTATGGGAGTTGGAAAACTGTGATCCCATATCAATGGTGCACTTGGGCTCCAATATTCTGAAGGAACAAATGGTGTATGAACCAATCGTCGATCACCGTCTAGCATGGGACTGTACCTCCAGACGTTTCTCCACTGACTTGTGGATCAGAGATATAGGTCGAAGGCTCCAGGTGTGGCCCTCTCAAAAAAACATCTGCTTCGGTTTGGGAACCCGGATAGTATCCCAGCCCTCACACAAGTCAAATGACGAATTGTGGCGCGTATCTATTTGGTGCTTCGTTGTACCAATGTTGATGTGTTTAAATAAATAGAATAAAAATGTTGATTATACAACTAAGAGTCATTGTCTAAGTGACATTTCAATTCAGTTTAACCTTCCTTTCACCCTAAGATCTTATTTCAACTAATTCGATTATGATTAAGATCATGAATCGATTGATGCTAAACTATCATTAAAAACTTGGAAGCATTAGATGATCGTTTCGTCTTGATAGTACAGGACTTCTTAGCAATGAATATTCATGATCCTGCCCACGGGAATCGAACCCAGAGCCTTCGATGTTACACACGAACGCTTAACTTTTGTACGATTAATTCGGCATCTAACAGTGATAATGTCATCGACACTCCTAAGAATTATCATTCATATTCACAAAGTAATAAACCAAAAATTGTTGTTACTTTTCTATTTCAGATTCAAAACGTACACCAAGATATTTAACCAATAGTCGAGGACGTAAACGTATACCAGGCACAGAAACAATAGAAAATCTAGTCAAAACGGTTGATTTAAAATTTATCAATTTATTAAATCAATGTTTAACGTAAGTTATCCCATTACCATTTATATCAGAAGGGGTTTGTGGAGATTTTAGAAATTTTCACGGATTGAAATCATGAGTCAATTGAAGCTAGACCACCATTGAAAACCTGGAAACACTGGACGGCCGTTTCGTCCTAGCATGGGCCTCCTCAGCAGTGTGCATCCACGATCCCGCACCACGCGGGATTCGAACCGACTCATGATTTCAATCTGTACAGTTTATATATTGATTGTTTGGATCTTTCGCATTGATGTTTAAAACTTCAGATTTTTCAATGACTTTTGGTATAAATGGATCTATGATATTGTTATTAAGTCAAAAAGGATTATAAGTAGAGATGAATGATGGTTAGTGTTATGACTTTAAACTTGGGTCGATTTTTACTCTGTGCTAATTGTTGTGTCCTTGACAGGAAAATTAGAAAGCAGCGTACTTATCGATCGATTCAATGACACGTAAACACGTACGGATGGCCTAGAGTCTCGATTGGTCTCGCTTCCCTATCTAGCCCAGTTAGTCGAGTCCAGAACACAAGCCACAGCCTCGGAGATATGAATCACTATATTTCAAACATACTTTGTTTATATACGAACCAAGCATACCACATCGTACCATAAAAATAGAAAACAACATTTTGTACAATATTCAACAAGTGAACAGATATCGACCAATAGGAAATATTCATTTAAAGTCCAAGGACACCATTGGACTTAACATGATAATTATTGGTCTATTCCTCCGCATCCACAACAGTTAGTAGTTCATTTCATCTTTATTGGATTTTGTCAGTTAGATATACTTGAATCCTTGAGTTATTCATCATCGGACTCCTCCGACCTAGTTATCCTTCGTTGAAAATGTTATCGCATTATCCATTTTGGTATTGAGTCTTATATAACCATCGGTTAATTTTGTTATTATCTCTATTTTGTTTAAGAGAATAGTCATGAGATGGTCGTATTATTGTAATTTTGTCTTTAGTAAGTGATTTCTAGATGTAACTCTTAGTATTGTAGTGTAAATCCAAGACTAGTAAAATTGTATAAGAGAATAGTTGTGTGACATGGAATTAAACTAGAAATGTAAACCATCGAGTGTTGAATAATTAGTATTCACATTACATGTTATGACTTTATGTCCGACTACTTATCATGTGATTTATCCACCAATCAAAATACGACTTATACAATCTTAGCACTATGCCAAAACCAATGACGTTCGACCGGTATGAGCAGTCTAGCGTCCTTATTGGTCCTATGTCCACCTAGCTCGTCCACTTGAGTCCAGGACACCAATACCGGCTTCCACTATGCGATGCGAATCGAATCGAATCATTTATTTCAGACATCATACTGGGTTTATATATCAACCAAACAGACCGCAACGCACCATAAAATAGGAAATAGCATTCATACACAATAAAGCCAAAAAGTGGTTGTGAACGTGGGAGGCAGTAGTCAATAGACTGAGCACAATTTAGGGACAGTAAATCGTATAATAATAAATTGTAGGTCAAAATGAAGCTTATAATAAGAGAAATACAAATATACACAATCTAATTAATGAATAGTTATACTATAAGAATTGATAGATAATATTAGTCAATTCATACGTCTCCGAAGATACCCTTAATTTATTCTTCAATAGGATATAACATCACATGTTCGCTGTGAGATCTAACAGTTGTGAGTTCGATTCCCGACAGGACTGTAAATAAGCACTTTAGATGATTCCCATAGAAGAATCAATCAGTTGTTCAGTGATTTGTAGTTAAAAAAATATCATTTACTTAACATCAATCCGTAGTGTAGACTATAAAATTTAGCATTTCCTGGAATGAATAAATTTCTGTTTGATTTGAGATGATGATTCAATAGTTCTATCTTAATATACCCTACAAGGAATCGAACGTACAACTTTAAGGCTTGATAATATCCAGTACTGTGGATGCATTAGACATGAACTTCTTAGTTACCTTTTAGTTTGACCAAATCAATACGTTTATTTATTCTTATAGAGTAGATTCCATGGACTACAATGAATGAGAATATATTCTGAACATACATCAGAATATGACTTGAAGTGACCTCCAAACCCTAATCTTCCCGATTACTGCTTATACTCTTGCTACTTCTACCACTACGGGATTTGAATCGACAACTGCATCTCTGTGCTAAGGTGGTGTGGCAACTCGAACTGATGTACGTACGTACGAAAATGTACGTTGTTATTGACTGACTGACTTGAAGTGACTTTGACTAGAAAATACAAAACAAACAATTTCTGAATACATTAAAATCTTATTAACTTTAAGCATTTTTCCCTCCTGTGCACATCTTTCAACATAATCTATACAGTGAATTGAATGAAATCAAAGACAGGACTTAAAACTTTAAAAATGAATTAATTCAAGCTGAAACATTCTATACGAAAAAAGTACTGTTGAATGCTCAGCTTAATTCTATAGACGTTCGACATTCATGTACGGGACAGAGGGCTCTAAGTTCGATTCGTGTTGGCAAAAGTTATGATTGTAGACTACTATGGAATTCATTTATAAGATTATACAGTCATTTAATACTTCTAGGCTTCCGATGATGGCCTAACTTAGAAAGATTCATAATTTCAAGCAACCTACAAAACATGATATCATTGTATAGTGGATTAATCTCGCTGTACATACATCTGTATGAATATAGTAGGTAATCCCTATGTAAAGAATCTTTTAAGATTGTATGTATTGCTCTATCGAAATCATAAATGGCAGATTGAACTTTCACTCATCAAAATAAATCGATAAAAAAATAGTAGGGTTGAACTGAGTTAATGAATTGTTACCATGGGATTTCATCATCATATTGTTAATGCTTAGAACTACAATTGAAGAGAGTCTTTTTATTATAAAATGGATCACGTCTATTATAGACTACAGACGAGTACAAGGTAAGGATGACAACTCAAGTGATGAAGTAGTACGACTTCATCAGTTGAAATGGCTGGAACATGTGTTACTGATACCCAAACACCGAGTGTCCCCACCTGCGATGTTTTATAATTTTGGAGTAGGTTGGAAGAAAGATAGGGGCGGCCAAATTCATGAATTCACTGACAAGTGAACTGATTCATGTTGGTGGGTGTAGACTACCTGGTTTGGATACGCGAGACGATAGCAACCGATGGTCAGAGACCTTGAATGTGACATGGGTCAACATAGTTTGCAATGGCACAGATGCATCCAGTCTTTGTGTTCTCTCAAATTCTAACCTTCTGAATTCATGTCCCTCTTTGTTTTTCTCTACAAATTTATTTCACTTGATTATACTCCTTGAATGAAGTGTTCAAATCCTAATCTCTCCGATTACTGATTATACTTTTACTACTTCTACCATTATGGGATTTGAATCGATAATTGTATCTTTTTGTAATGTGTTATGGCAACGTTAACCGATGTACGTAGGTATGAAGTTCTACATTGTTGCTGACTGACTGATAGACTTCAGACACAAGTTATGGTAGCTTGTAACGAAATTCAGGATGTATATTTCAACTGGTTTGGAAGTTGTTAGCTCAATGTTTCAGCGCTAAGACTTTAAATCAATAGTTTACGCTTTCCTTGCTCAACTCAATCTCTATTGAACAATTTGGTGCTTATACTAATTCAGTAGTTCACTGGATAATTCATATGGACAGTTCAATCGGAAGGTGTCGAGTTCGAGTAGCACTATTAATATCAACTATTGAATACAAATATATTCAGATATTTAGTTCTATGATTAACAAACTATCATTTGTCATTTGGATTCTATTTTCCTTCTACTAATAGATGGGATCCAGATGAAAGAATTACACCAAATGAAGCTTTAAATCATGAATGGATTATACGTGAAACTGAACAATCTAAACAAAATGTTACATTTCAAACATTGGAACAAACTAATTCAGAGAATAAACAGAAAGATACAATTGCTTAAATCACTATATCTATCACTATTGATATTGACATAAATATGTAAGTTTTTTGGGTGTTTATTGTCATAGTTTTCATTATGAACTGACTTTAAAAAAACCCCTGGTACGGCCGAGAGTAGGGAGAGACAGTTCTCTCCCTCCCTCTCTCTCTCTCTCTCTCTCTCGAAATGCTCTAGCATGGCCAAATGCATACAACCACTACCAGGGAAGTATGGAATTCACTGCCAAATAATACCCCGGGTGTTGTTCACAAAATTGAGAGGACGAAAAACGAATGTCATTTGGGTTGGTGACAGTATTCCACAATTTTTTTATTTACATTAAAAACAACCAGAGCATACCATGAAAGTGATGTCTAGAAATGAGTGCGAAATGCAGATAAACAGGTACTAAGCCTAAGGATTATTAAATATGTAGTTACCTTTCCTGTTATCGATTTCCACAGTGGACTCACTATGAGTAAACGATTGTCATTCTGTAATGAAGGAGAATACAGGTAAGGATTAACCGAATGCACTTGGCACAAAATTACAGAATTACTTGGTAAAATTGAAAAACTGTATAGTAAATCGTTAATTTGCAAAATATCAATCCATCATATCAACCTGAACTGTTCCTGTTGCAAACATCAATTCATTGTCTCACATTTCATTGTTCATGCGTTTTCTTACAAATCGCATTGTGTTCCCGATCTTCTTTTCTTGATCTTCCCCCATCTTCTGCTGCCAGACATTACATTTTAACTCGCGTCATACACTACTTATATCAATATAAGTAGCACGCACCACAATTCTATTGAATAAAGTATTTTCTAGTCTATACTTTAGTCCTCTTTTCTGGGTTGTAAATCCTCAATCTGATATAACATGATTAGTCTTATTATCATATCAACGTATTATTGTAGTAGTATACGCGAGAGTGAAAAAAACTACTTTAAACCATCCGTTATATTGTGGTGTGTGCTACTGATATCGACAGATATAAGTAGTAAGTATCATCAGTCAAAAGTGAAATGTCTGATAGTAGAAGGTGAAGAAGATCAAATCGAAAACAACAAGAACAGAAAAGGATTAGTATGGAAATGATGAAAGAACAATCAAGTTGGATACTACAATTGATTGACATTTTGCTAATGAAGTATTTTTCACTGTATAGTTCTCACATTTTACTAATTGATTCTGTAATGTTTTGATGAACTACATTCGATTGTCCCAGCCGGTATTCTTATCCACTACACTATCAGTCACTAATCTGAATTCTTCCCTTAACATCGTAATTACTCTTTCCCTAATCAATATCGATCAATATAAAGTCAAATCAATGAAAGTATACTCTGATTAACATATAAAATCAATCTTGGTTTCTTTCTTTTTTTAGGTAGTACAAATATACGTTAACCTTGACAACAACTAATCAATCAATCAATCGATCAATCAATTAATCATTAAGAAGAGATTCAATCTGTGAATAAGACACTTTATACATAAATTTTTTCAATCATATTTTATATTGGTATCATTTGAAGAAGGTATATTTAATTTTAGGTAAATCTATCAATATGATTAAGAATTATTATGATTTATTTATTTACCTAAGCTAAAGCACCATTGAAAACTCCGAAGTACTGAATGACCATTTCGTCCTGATAGTAAGAGATACCTCAGCAGAGTATGAATCCGAAATTCTGGAAGAGGGACTCGAACCTAAAACTTTCGGTCTGTCAACATAAGTAGTAGTTTACACCATAAAACTAGTAAAGAAAGTCACTTGGTATTGTTTGCCTGTATCTCCCCATTGTAAAAGAATGAGTGGTAGTAAGAAAGGGAACCTGGAAAGAATAAATGAATTCGTGGAACAAAAATGTATAGGTAAATTTTAAAACTCAGTATTTAAGAGTAGCCCAATGCGATCAATGCTGACCGAATCATGTTGTTCAATGTCTACAACCATTAGGTAACAACAGTTAGTTGTAATTCGACAAGGTAGTCTATACATGCTAAGTGGACTTAGTCCAATGAACAATGATCGATGGTTGATTATCACTATTTGGAATTTCAGTATGATAACAGTATGATGTTATCTTGACTGATACTGTGACATTTAAACTCGAACTACAATATTCCAACATCACTAATGACAAGACAATATGATACTGATCAATAGGTGTACAAATCTAAGTCTTACAGAGCACGTTACTAGATTCCTGAATAATTCAGTTACAGTGTAAGTTACTGACCATGACACTGAATCTGGTAAGTTAAAATCCTAAACAATTACTGTTAACTACAGAAACTACTGAAAACATTTTCAGTAGTTAAAATGAAAAAACAAAGAATAAACGTTTGTCTGGTGCTTGTCAATTGTATTTAGATGAAATACAGATCAATAAAACAAAATACAATTTGACATAAGTCCAGAAAAGGTTATCCGATATGATATTTATTACTTTCTAAAGACCAAGTGAATTGGTCTTAACTGGAGACAATAAATAATTTTGATAGAGTTTTGTTCACTGAAGTGGATCGTTTAGTTGTGGAGCTCCCATCATTCGGCTGAACGACATCATCAGCAGCACAAATTTCACATAGAAATGAAGTTTTCGAATTTCTCTAGACATTTAGTTCACAGCTTGTGTTGTAGACTTCGATGTTGATTGGTTCTTGTTGACCTTCAACTTGTCATTATTTACTTCTTTGTTTTCGTTGTATCTTCCATTGGTTTGACCAAACCATCCATCTCAGAGAACAAAACTTCATCAAAATTATCTATCTGAGCTACAAATCTTCTCCATTATCTCACAATAATTGATGTAGATAGACAATTGTGACCAGTTTAGGATTAAAATCTTGATTTCTAGTATTCTAATCAATATAGAGAAATAGTTCAGATATTGACATGTTTACATTTATATATAAATATTAGATCAACCGTCATTTCTCGCAGCAGCTATTCATATGTATCTTATCAACTACACTTACTTTCAAAGCACTTTTATTAGAATGGGGGGTTTTGGAGATTATAGTGATTTTGGTAGTTGAATTCATGAGTCGAAGTTAAGCAGTCGCGTACAAAGACGAAGGTCCTCAGTTCGAGTTCTGTGTTTAGGATTGTGGATGTGCACTGTTGAGGAGTCTCATACTGCCAGAACAAGACGACTATCCAGTGCTTCCATGTTTTCAATGGTGGTCTAGCTTATATTGACTAGTGAATTTAACTTTTAAAACGCTTGTCGAAGCGAAATGAGTTCTGGTTGATTCAACCAACGAATGTTCATAACGTTACCTACAGTTTGACGGGGAATTAAAACCCTGGAAATTTTACATCAGTTAGTAGACATGGATACGTTTCAATCAACTTGAAGTATTGAACAATGTTGAGCTGATATCATTGATGAAATATTGTCTATCTCTGTCTGCTACAGCTTTCCAAAGGAATTTCAAAATAACTAACTTCACTTTACAAACTATGTCAATCTTTCTCCTCAATTTAATATCCATCTCACATTTGCATCGTATTCTTTGTTGCGAGATAATCTATAATGTGTCTAACAAACAGCTTTCAATTTATAGTTAGGTTATAAATTGTAGTGTCGGTTACTATGTCTAGACCACATAGCTTATTCCGGTTTCCGGATAAGTCAGTTTATTCATTCTTCTTGAGTCATATTTTGACCTTGCCAATCATTCGCTTATCAACTTTGACTGTACTCATGTAAGGGTATGTGTATACACTTTTCATTCTATTCATCACATGTCTGTAACTTATTTTTATTGATCAACGCCTGATGAAATGGAATTGACTCACACCATCTTCACCGCACATCATTTCGTTTCGTTCTCTTCTCTTCGTTCCCCTTTTTCTTCGATTTCTTCGCTTCGTCCCTCTGATTGTCTGTCCAGATCATTGAGTGTACAAAGTATATGTATTCAAGCATGCATTCTCACATTTGATTTTTTTAATTCCCTTATTCACTAACGCGAGTCAAGTCAATGATTATATATGAGGATTGGTGAATATTTCAATAGCAATCAAATCCAACCTGATTTGAGTCGGATTAATAGCCATTAAAAAATAAATATTGCTCTCATTTGTTGGAACCACCGGGTAAATAATAGTGAGGTTAGACGCAGAGTATTAGGGAATGTTGGTAAATCAGTTGATGAGGTTGTAAATCTTCATCGAATGAGATGGTTGGGCCACGTGTTGTGTATACCTGAGAACGGATTACCAAGACGCTCAATGATGATTTGTGTTGGAGGATGGTTGAAAGAAAGTTAGGGATGGTCAAACCAAAACGTGGCATCAGTACTTGAGACCATTAACTTCTGGTATGAGCCATGTTGGTAGATGCGAACTACTTGGTTGGGGTCCACGTGACTATTGTAACCAATGGTTGGAGACTGTGTGTGATATGACTCAGAATCGATCAGAATGGCGTAGGTATATACACTCTTCCTTTTTTTTCTACGAACTAATTCTTTCGTTCTTTACTATGTCCTTACACACAATCTTGTTGTGCTGATGTGGTATGGCAACTTGGACCGATGCGCATATGTGCCTGGTCCTACGTTGTAGCTGTCTGACTGATCATAAAAATCTTTCATCCGATCATTCCATTCTAATTTCCTTTCTCTTTTTCTTCTTATTCTTCTTCTTAACTTAGGTACTTTTCAACTATTTTGTTCAATCAATTACTCTTTCTATTTAATACAGGCAATATGTAATCAATCCACAGAACTGTTAATATAGTTACATGATGAAGGGTGATGCTATCAATGTCAAGAAAATTCTAATTCTAATTCAACTATGTATTATTTGATATTATAAAGTATGTTATTTGACTTATTATTTTCTGGTTAGCGCTTTTTTCAGCGGGTTAGTTTTCTACGGGATAAGGTTGCTAACCCCATGCTCAACTGTCCTCGTTTATCCGGGCTTGGAGCCGACAATAGCTCCAGAGGGACTCCAGGTGGAGTTATAAATTATGTTGTATAAATGTAAT